AACAAGAAGGGAGGTCGGCGGCTTCAGCGGTGGTCGCGCCAAACTGTGTCCGTTTTTAGTTCCATGAGTTAAGCGCCGAACACCGCTGTGCGTTCGCGTGTTTAAAATGGCCACGACCTCGTGTTCATTATACGAATGGCGGCCACCCAGTATTCGTCAATTAAGCTGCGGTTAACCGCAGCTTCTGGGAGGCTAATTGCCGGCACACTCCAGCTCCCAGGTGGTCTAGTCATTCGTGCGGTTGTTCGGTAGATTGAATCTACTGAACACCGGGCAGAAAAGCACGAATAAGTCTTTTCTGCAGGGGAAACAAAGTCTTTTAACATGGGGCCATAATCCAAAGGCAGCAGGTGAGCAACCAGGCTTCTCCAATGCAATGTGGCGAGATTGCTCTCGTCACAGTAGGTCATTCGCACAGGCTGGTTTATCTCTTAATACAAAAAAGCATATTCAAGAGCATATGATTTGTTTAAAAGGTTTGTTAGTGATTATTGTGTAGTAAATGTTTTTTCCGTAGAAACCATGGTCGCATTTACAACTTTTTGCCACATTTCTCTCAAATTAGCTTACAATAGAATCAAACTTTACTTAAGGGGCATTCAACACTACATGTTAACCAGTTATCCCAACAAAACTCCACTTCTAGCATCCTACCCATTTAAAAGTGTCCTTAACCCCTTAAGGACCAAACTTCTGGAATAAAAGGGAATCATGACATGTCACACATGTCATGTGTCCTTAAGGGGTTAAAGGTGTTCAGAGACTAACAGTGCATAATCCCATTAACCCCTTAAGGGCACAACTTCAGAAATAAAAGGTAATCATGACAGAATATTTCCGTCATGTGTCTTTAAGGGGTTAAGAGACTTCCCATAGACAGTACACTGTTTAGGAGTATCTCTGATGTACTAGACAAGTCGCTTTTTGAACAAACCACGAACCTAATTATCAAGTCCGCGGCTTGCATAGCCTTCTATGGTTTCTTAAGACCTAAAGAATTCTCTGTAGAAAAGGCGTCCGACTTTAAGTCATGCCTTCAACAAAAACACCTCATTAAAAAACAGGTGGAATCCCAACTCACTTCCAACCCTCATTCCCCACTATTGGCCATTCAAGGAAAACCCCTAACCACCAAACAATTCATACTTTACATTCATACATTATTACTCCGGCTAGGATATAACCCACATTCATTCTCGGGCCATTCATTCCATATTGGAGCAGCCACATCTGCCTCTGGAAATCACGTACCAACACATATCATTAAAAATATGGGTCGCTGGAAATCATCCGCATACAATAGATACATCCACAATCCTGAGAAAAAAATAAGATTGGCTTTCTGTAATATGTCTAAGTAATGTAATGCTTAAATAAATGTATCTGACTTAAAGAATCGCTTCTTAGATTTTTGCCCTCTTTTACAGGTCTAATCTCACGTCAGTTTCAACACACCTCAACTGACTTTGCTCTTACTACATTTTGCTTCTTTCTTATAATTTCATACGTCCTTTAATTTGCCGCACACAAATAGAAGGCTTGGCCACTGTGAACCCTATTTAAACCCAGTAAGCCCCTGCTTACCTGTCGGCTACGTTCTCGGAAGTGCCCCTCCAACAGCACCCTCTATTTATTCTCACTTCACTTAGGTGGGCCATTTTTTTACAGGTCTAAACTCACGTTAGTTTCGGCACACCTCAACTGACTTTGCTCTTACTACATTTTGCTTCTTTCTTATTATTTCATACGTCCTCTAATTTGCCGTACACAAATAATAATATATATGTTAATTAGTGATGTCGCGAACATGAAATTTTCAGTTCGCGAACGGCGAACGCGAATTTCGGCAAATGTTCGCGAACCCGTGAACCGGGCGAACCGCCATAGACTTCAATAGGCAGGCGAATTTTAAAACCCACAAGTTGTTTCAAGGGGACTAACACCTGGACTGTGGCATGCAAACTCCGATCCGCGGCTGCATCTTGCAGCCGCTTAGTAGATAACTCCCTAATTCCCACGGTATTAGGGAGTTATCTACTAAAAGGCTGAAAGACCTAAATTGGTCTTTCAGCCACATTTACTAATAATAAGTAAAGATTAGAATTAGTAAATTCTGCCCCTACTCGCTATGCAGCGAGTAGGGGCATGTCTAGTAAGCAGTGTAATGTCCCTGTAAAAAAAAACAAACAAAAAAAACCTATTGCCCCCACCCCTGGGCGGCGGGTGGGGGCCATAAAGATAATGAGGGGACGTACTGTCCTCCCCCCGGCCCCCACCCCTGGGCGGCGGGTGGGGGCCATAAAGATAATGAGGGGGGGGACCTACTGTCCTCCCCCCCCGCCCCCACCCCTGCACGGTGGGTGGGGGCCATAAAGATAATGAGGGGGGGACCTAATGTCCTCCCCCCAGCCCCCACCCCTGAGCGGCGGGTGGGGGCCCTAAAAAAAGTCCCCCCCAGGTGACTAGGGGTACCCAAACCCCTAGTCACCCCCTCCCTCCCCAAAAAAAATTAACCCCCTAAAAATTAACCTTTAACTAAGTACCTGTGTACCCATTGATACTGGAGCAAGTTTTTCTACCTTAGGAGTTCAGGGCTAATAAAATTATAACCCACTCAATTAAAAAAAAACGAGCGCAAAAAAAAAAATGGCTCCGCGCAGACTGAGCTCTGCAGGGCGGGGCAAGGCTTATAAAGCCTTGCCCCGCCCTGCAATTAGGCTCAGAGCACTCTGATTGGTGGGTTTAAGCCATCCAATCAGAGTGCTCTGACAGGTAAATGAAGAGACTGACAGGTAACTCTCTACATTTACCTGTCACAGCACTCTGATTGGTTGGTTTGAAATCCACCAATCAGAGTGCTCTGTGTCATTTTACACAGCGTGGGAAAGTTATTTGGAATTTCCACGCTGTGTAATTTGACTCATAAATCTCTGATTGGTGGATTAATCCACCAATCAGAGAGTTATGAGTCAAATTACACAGCGTAATGTCAGAGAGTTATGAGTCAAATTA